CCCCCCCCCCCCCCCCCCTCCCCCCAATGTTCTGCCTAAACTTTCACTGTAAAATAACGATTCCGAAGTTTCATCGACACGGAAAAAAAGAAAAAACACTAGGCCAATTAGCACAACGTTTTTCCACTAAACCCTTCAAAATGAAAAGCTGCTTAAAACACCTAAGAAGCAGAGTCAAAATATGCACTGTTAGCGAAATGCGTGTGAGCATCCAAAAAAAAACTTCAGCAAAAGTACCGCATGAACCAGTGGTGCGCTAAACCCCTCTTTTCCCTCCCCTCCCCCCACCCCCCCAAAAAAAAATCTCCATTATAACAATCTTATAAAAAAGCGTACGTGGGATCGACGTGACATAGCTGAAGAAACAGACGAACGGTGCCGCAAACCAGCAGCAGTACAGAGAAGTAGAGCAAAAACGGGTCTACGGGCCTGCTCGGAACATCTCCTTTACCACGATATGTGTTACCAGTCATGACAACCAACTATCTGCTCTTCCAGAACAAGATATGCGCTGCTACGACGCTAACTGATGTCTATTTTTAGGGCCGAGTGGATGGCTCACAGAGAAAATCAATTTTTTTTTAAGATTCACAACATTTCAACAGTTCCTAGGTACTGAAACGCTATGCTGTGCCAAGGAGACAAAAGTCTTCAGCTTGTTTCATAAGCATCTCTCAGCAGAGGGAACCATCGAAAGCCTTACAAGTGTGCTGACAAAACGCCATACGCCAAAAGCACTTTAAAATTACTCCATATTTTTAAAGGAGCTCTGCCAGTAAAGCAAAAACTTCGGAAGCGCAAACAATAATTGGCCAATGCACCGACTGCCGGTGCGAAGATGCGTTTTTTTGCATAGTTCCCGCAGTTTCTGTCGCTACCGGTACCGAATTTTCCGGCAAATGCTCCTAGCTAAAAGAATTGAGATTGGCCGCCAGGACTGTCAGGAAGCATCCGTTTAAAATTTCAGCTCTTTAACTTTCCCGGCTCCAGAGTTAGTAACTCACCCACAAAAAACTTCCACTGGCTCGTACATAGGAACCACGCATACGCGGGAGCTAGGTTTGAACTTATTAGGACCTACGTGGACGGGGAACGCCCTCTTAAAGTTCCAGTTTTCTAACTCCTTAGGTTCCCGAATTAGAAACCTACCCGAAAAAACTGTGACGGGTCCGTACGTGGGAGTCACGCATACCCGGGGGCTGGGTTTGAGCTCATTTATATCTACCTAGACGGGGAACACCCCCCTAAAATTCCAGTCCTCTAACTTTTCAGGTTCCCGAATTAGAAGCTTACCCGAAAAAAATTTTGGTGGGCCCGTGCATGGGTACCATGTATGGCCAAGCGCTGGGTTTGAACTCATTAATACTTAATTCGATGGAAGACACCCCCTTAAAGTTCCAGTCTTCCACCTTTTCGGGTTCTCGAGTTAGCAACTTACCCGAAAAAAACTTTGGCGGGGCCGCACGGATAAGAACGCTGATTTCGGAGTTGAGAGTTCGCAAATGCATGTAGATTAAGTTCCCCAAGTTTCGGCCCTGTAGATTTTGTAGGTCTCGAGATGTAAAATCGGTACAGACGCACAGCGCGCACACAGACAACCTCTCGTCAATATGTGTTTTCTGCAATGCATAAATGCAAAAAAACGCATAATAAAAGGGAGCTGCAAAAATAAAACAGGGGGTGCTCAACTTTGCTACAAAGCACCAAAAAAGATGCTTGAAATTAGTTGTAGCGTTTGATTAACATTTGCAAATGCGCCAAAAATACGGGAAATGAAAATATGCTGTAAGGTAATCAATCCAGAAAACTTCAGTTCAATGGACCTAGCGCATGTGGAACAAAAAAAATACGCCTTAAGAAAACGATCGCAACCAGCAAATAACCTGTTCATCGCCTTTTCCCTCCAAACCACTTGAATCTTGTTGCGAATCATGTCCAGGGTATTCCGCATTATTCATATCTTCATTTACGTCTAAAACAATCACATTCATTGATCACCAGTGTGTGTGTGTGTGTGTGTGTGTGTGTGTGCGTGTGTGAGTGTGTGTGTGTGTGCATGTGTGTATGTGCACATATGTGTGTGTGTGTGTGTGGGATCTTCATCAGAAACATTTACCATATATGATTTTATTAGAAAGACG